GTTTTTCAAGATGGTGAACCATTTTATACGCCCTGCAAAAAGTAAAAGATTACCTTTAATCACTAACTGTAAACTTCATTGTATCAGCATATACTAGTCTGAACTTTTTAATTGAACCAGGAAGTGTTTTGAGACTTGTTGATAAAATTGATGTTTGAGTTTCTTACCTATTGCTCTTTCCACGTGAATTCTTGCATTTGCGACCTTCTTGGTTTTGGCAACTGCCTCACTGGTCTGCTGGTTGACTCCAGTGCTGGGGGGTGGAATTTCCAGGCGGGCTCCTTTCTGTAGCAGGTCGCTGGCTATTGTGAACCCCCTGTCTGCCAGGATGATGTCCTTGGGGTCCACCTTGTTCAGGAAACCTGAGTCATGAACGATGCTCTTGTCTGAGGATCGTCCACCATACCCGTCCGACAAGAATGAAATCATGCCGTTTGGTGCGATCCCGATCAGGTATTTTGCAGTGTTGTGTTTTTTATAGTCACTCCAGGTTTTTTGTTGGAGCTCCAAGAGTCTTGGTTTCTGGATGAATATTTCTGTGCAATCTATAGTGCAGCGTAGCTGTGGGTACTTTTTCCCCAGTGCCTGGGGCATGTGCTGAAGGATGACCTCCTTTGCAGGACAGAAGATCAAGGACTTAAGGTGTGATGCCAGAAGTGGAATCCAGGTGTTGATTATATTGGAGCAAAGCCCTTGTGATATGCCGAAAATGTCACACAACAGTGTGTTAGTAACACCAAGCCGAAGCTTCATCAGAACTAAGATCAGCTCGTCTCGGCTCCCCAACTTCCGAGATGGCCCGAACTTTTTGGGGCTCTTTGAGAATTTTCTGACACCTTGTTTCACATGTACGGCATTGTTTGTTCCCCTCCAGTACCTGACCTTGTTTGCATTTTTCTCCACAGACTTGTGTAGGGAGTCTAGGGCTGCTGCTGTTTGTAAGCCAGTGTTTCTACATACTTTTGAATCTGTACTGACAAAGTGATTGATGATTCTGTCAGTGAGAGTTGTCTATGGTTTGTGCTTAGTGTCCTTAACCTGTCCACGCTTTAGCTGTTCAAGTTCTTCTTTTAGGTCCTCATTTTCTTTCAGCAGTTTTTGACAGTTTTGGCATGGAGTGTTGTGGAACGAGTAGCTGTGTTCACCCTGGACATGTTCAGTGGAAGATGTAGCTGTTGTAGGTGTGTGGTAGCTGTGTTCACTCTGGACATGTTCAGTGGAAGATGTAGCTGTTGTAGGTGTGTGGTAGCTGTGTTCACTCTGGGCATGTTCAGTGGAAGATGTAGCTGTTGTAGGTGTGTGGTAGCTGTGTTCACTCTGGACATGTTCAGTGGAAGATGTAGCTGCGATAGGAGTGTGGTAGGTATGGTCCATCTGAAGAAAGTCAGTAGAGACTGTAGCTGGATCACATACCATCTCATCGTTACTTGCTGTTGTTGTTGGAAAGGTGGAAGAAGTTGACTGCGGTTGTGGTCGAGCTGTAGGTGGTTTTCTTGCAGAGGGTGGTTTTCTTGCAGCAGGTGGTGGCTTGACGTTGTAGCCAAGGTGTTCTGTAGGGTATGGGTTTGCCGGCGTTGGTTTTCCATCCCGGAAATGTTTGCTGCATACCATTGACTTCCTGAAAAAAACATAGTACATAGATATAGTTTGTGCTTAGAAATGTACAACTGACACAATAAGTCAATGGATGACTAAATGAACACGCTTTGCTACATGTAACTAGCAGATGTGCCTGCAAACTGAATTAATGTGTGGTTTGTCTACAACTGATGGAAGTACTAGTAATACATTTGTTATGAATATGTATGAGGAACTAACTCCATGTTTGTATAGTTTAGATGTAGTGTAAGTTTTTGTTAATATTAGTTATGTATATGTGCATCATGTATAAGTACTTACGAGTTTGCCTGCCAAACTTTGCCTGCCAGTTTGTCTATCCTGTTCACTAACTTTACCTACTGCTTTCTGCGTTCTGCATCCCTTTTCTGAGTTGGGAATGTCCAAAGGATGAAGGGTGGAGGGCATATGCACTGTCCTTTGTTGTGCTTGTAACCTGTGGTTTGCAAAAATTTACAAGAAAATTGTATGTTTCACCATTTGACAGTTTTTGAGATAGGGGTGGGTTAGAAGGATACAAGGAGACAACATAAAAAAACCAATGGCTCAGATATATGGATGGGTTAATTTGAACACAACATGTTATTCAGATACATATGCTGTTAAATCTGTGTTTGTGTATTTTCCTTTAAATATAGAAACCCATGTAAAACTCTACAAGAATTAACATACATTACCATCTACTACTACAGACTTATGCTAGATTTGCAATAAATACCATATCTGCCATCATGCTGTGGCCCAAAGACAGATCATTTACCCATAAGGTTTATGACGTGCGAATGTAGTGTAGACGTGGCCGGCGGTGCAAGTCCCCATCTGTGGACCAAACCAGTAATGGCTGTTGTCCTTCGTAGCAGAAAGGTAAGTCCTCAGTCCGGTGTTTCCGAAGAGTCACACGGAAAAGAACCCGCCAAACTTGTCGATAAGAGTAGGGGTCCACCAGAGTGGATCAGAAACGTATATATAGCGCCTTACGCAGCTTGCACTTACGCCGTGACCGGCGGTGCCAGTGCTGGGACATGTGGCGGAGACGCAAATTTAAACATACAGACGAACAAACAACGGATTAAATACATGGAAGGACACATTTCGACGAAACAAAATGGAATGAAATGAAAACAAAGTCACAGGTTCAACACAAGATACGCGTGCAAAAAAAAAAAAAACTGGGTGAACGGCGCACTGTTCAGCTTCCCAATCTTCCACTTTTCCTCGGCCATTTTCACATCCAAACACCGCACAATGGCCCCAAAGACTACCCTTTGAGTCTTTTTCACATTCAAACTCCATAGCACCAGCGAAAAATGCAACAGAAAGCACCAAAACCAATGACAGATGAGACCAAAACACTGGCACGCATGTAAACACGCTACATCGCACGGTTCGCGCGTCCGTCCGAAGTGACATTAACCTTTGAACTGGCCCACAATCCTGTGCGGCGCTGGATCTGTGAGAAGGCTTATTGAGGATGCTTTTTCGAGGTCATTTATATAAATAAAAAAAGTGCCCCTGGTGGGCACTCGTCATATTTCGGACCTTAAACTGGTCTTTATGTCTTTAGCCAGGTATTCCATCCACACTGCGCAGCAGAAGCTATCTTTAATTCTACTGAAGCATAGGTCTCTGCTGGATCTTCAGAACGAGGAAGTTCCGTTAGAAGGTTCTGCGACTTCCGGTAGAGGCCATTCCGGGACATCCGCTCTGCCAGAGAGCAGCATACCTGCATATGCTTAGGCTCCTACCCGCTTCGGGTGACTCCGGCTCCCCGCATTCCTCGTTCCCAGCTGCGGCGATGGCCTAGTGTCACTTACTTTATTAATATACCTTCCTCGTCTCTTACATCTAGACTCTACTGCTAGCTGCCGGCGGAGCAGATCAACCTCTTCACAGCAAAAAGATCTCCGGCCTCAGCTTCCGACGCGGGGGCGCCACCTTGAGCCTGCCACATTCACGTGGCACGTTGGGGCAGTTTCACAAACCAGAAAACTAATGAGGGATTGGTCATTTCATGCCTACTTATGTTTACTTGGACTCCTCCTTGAAACAGAGGTTGTCCTTTAGCAAGCAAATCTCTAATTCAATTCGCCCAAGTTCTGACAACCCCGCTCAAATCCTGAACCCTTTTGCCCCTTATAATTATCATATTCTCATATTTATAGTCTTCTTCCTCATTTTGCAGTTTATACAATAAATCAGATTACCAAATCTAGTTACTAACTTCGCCAAGAAAGTTATGTTTTCGTAATAGTCGAGGAGGCTTAAATGGATCGAAATTAAAATGGTAGGTAGGTAGGTCTTCAGCGGGTGAAGAAGTGACGCAAGTATGGGCCCCTTGGCGGCTTTCTCAGAAACTGCAGGGGCGTTTCTTTAAAAATATACAAAAGAGGATAACTCAAGAACCGGTTGACGGATCGTCGTGATTTTTGGTAAGTAGGTAGCTTAAGTAACACTTGACATAATAATGCGACATTTATGCAAATCTGGATGTAATTTGCTTTATTTATGAGGAAATTCTATAAATCAGCTGTTTTACATTACATGACTATTCAAGTTTGTGACATATGTAATTGAGAACGAGAGAAACACAGCCAGCTATTGATTATGGAAATTAAGACTGAATTTGTATAATTTATGGAACATGTTATAATTTTAAATAAAATTAAAATTAAAATTAAATAAAAGGTAACTTCCTGAAATTTCATACTTGGGGTATTAGAAAGTTAAGTGAAGGTGAACATCATTAAACATAACTTATTCAAATAAGAAGCTCATTTGCATAATTTACCAAATAATGGTTTTCTTTGTTAAGATCTGTATAAGGCTGTCTTTTGGTGGAGAATATGATCAACTTAAATAATTCATGCAAATAAGGAACCTATATGCATCAGAAAGAATAATACTTTGTCAGTCATAAAAATTAACATTTGACGAAGGTTTGAGATCGTGGAACTCTAGTTAGTTAATTAGGTAGCTGCATGACCGCATTGTTGATAATCTACATTCCGTTTTGCCTCGCCTCTGCATGCGATTTGCATGATTAAGTGTAAAAAAATTCCAACTCATTATCATAATTTATGCAAAAATAGGATGAGGCCTGCATGCATGAACATGGGGTTGACCCCGACGGTCTTACATCAGACTTTCCGTTGTTTTTTTTTCTTATAAATTTATGCCGATCTCCCAAAAAATTGAACTGAACCTGAAGGAGAGATTTATTGACAAAGTCAGTAAAGGAAAGAGGAATTTTTTGGGAATCAAAAAATTTTCAAACACAAGTAGTACATAAGAAGATACGCCTGGAGTCCAAATGGAACCCATTCGGGTGTTTGAGGGTTCATCTTTTGATTTCCAAACATTTTATGCATTCTGAAATGATTGCAATAACTTGTTCTTTTTTATAACTGGGAAAGGGTGCAGCATATGATCAGCAAATATTACAAGGTAGTGTACTAGTAAAATGAAACCATAACAACAGTGTTTTTGTTATGTGGTTTATTTGTGAAAACAGTAACATTGGTTATCCTCGTCAAATTCAATGGTTTACAAAAAAGACAAAATACAACAGTAAGATTTATTCAAACTTGTGTAACGGCAGCGAGGTCAAAATATTGTTTTATAATGAACGAATGTATATTCAAGCTACCTCCATCTAGAACCGTAAATCTAGAATTAAAAAAAAAAATTTTTGCAAGATATAGCCTAAAAGTATTATGCTATAATTACATAACATTAAAGAAAATCATCTTAATACAACATAGCTAAAAAGATAGACCACCATCTTTAATCTTAAACAATAAAATTATCATATAATTATTACATAAAATTCCAGAAGATGATGTTAGCTAGTGGTAGTAATAGCAATATGGTTGGCAAACATATATGACTTTTGTAAACTAGTAATGTAGTCTAAGTTACTGTTTCCTAATTGATAATTGTTTATAACTAAAAATGAACCATATACAGTCGAACTTAGATTAGCGATATCGCACGGGATGTCTTATAACGTTTGTAAAACTGAAGAATTTGTATTGTAATGAGTGAGGTAATTTACGTCAAATATGTTATCGGTTAACACAAGCGGTTTGCAGAACTCATAATTTTCCCCTTTCCACCACCTTTCTAGGTCAGTATAGACCTTTTTCTCTGCAGAGCTTGTGTTAATAAGTTTTGTACAAAGAAGACACCATTGGCCTAGAATCTCTGGAATGAGTTTAGGGCGGTTCGTTCGCCAACTAAAATATTGGTTGTATTTATCGTCATTTCTGTCTAGCATTTTTATGTAGCTAGCCAATGCTTCGGGTGATTCAAAATCATCAACGTGAATAAAGCTATTCGGGGGTGTGAACTTTTCATAGTCGCTCTTGGGTGGCCCTATTACGATTGGCACAACGCCGTTTTTTAGCGCATTGTGCCAGAATTTTTCAGTAATGTATTCTTTGCAGCTGTAACTTTCAAATGCAAGATAAAATTTGTACTGACTGACTATATTGTCCTTACAAGTGTTGTTAGCACGTGGGCAGATACGCCTTCCACAACCACCGAAAACGTCTATTGGAATGTACCTTGAAAGTTCTGTGGCGTAAATATGCCGAGGAAAATATTTGTAGCATTTACTAACAAACCATACTACAAGACCAGATTTTTCTGTCGAATTTTCCTTTAAACCCTTACCCATAAGTAGGTTATAAATTTGATAAAGGGACCCCAAGGGGCCCGGTATGTCCGAGTCGTTCCTGTAAGTCATTGTCCAGTTGTAAACACCACTGTAGGAGGTGAGGTCCACATTTCGGTTGTTCTCTGGACATTCCTTGGCATACCATACCCAGTACTGATGAGGGAGTCGTACACTCGGCATAGCTGATCGGTTGTAAATCTTCGGTGTATCCCAGAAGTGAAAAACGACAGCATCGGCCTCGGCGACTTGCTGACGGTCGGTAGTTAAGGTGCAAGATTTCCTTAAGGAAGGACAAGCTAGAAGTTTTGATGAATAATTTCTACCAAAAAATGTTGTCCAAATGACAATTTTCATCGGCATCAGGCGGTCACCAGTACGGAAGGCGGTGTTGTCATTCCAGGTTTTATAAAACGTTGATGGATGATTGTGTGGGGTAGAAATGCCTTTTTTCAAAGCCCCAAAATGTGAATGTGCATTCTGGACATGAAGGTAAGTTGCAGAGTGTGCCTTAAAGGGTGGTCTGATATAATTGCTGAAGCTACCCAGTTTAAAAAGGAAGCCAAAAATTGACATGAGAATTATCAATATGAAAGCACAGAACACTCTCGGTGCCCTCATTTTTCTAGAATTACTTACTTGTAAAATGTTGTTTAAAGCGACAACAACTTGAAACATAACTATACTGCTAAATCATTTAGAACTTTAACCATACAAAGTCTGTCAAGTAGGTTTGCAAATTGGCACATTTCGAAGTAACTCTCTTCTTCTCTATCCTTTATCCTCTATCTCCCTTCCCTAAGGGTAAATGGATAGAATAAGCATTAGCAAAAAAAATCTGACATATAGGGTCAGTGCCACAAGTTCAATATTTATTATAATAAAATTTGCAAGAACGTTGCAAAATTTTGGGATTATCCCAATACATATATAATAAATTTTAATGAATTCATAATGTGAAAAATTCTAATTAAGTGCAGGAAAGCAAAAAAAATAACTTACCACTAAGGCTTTTTGGCAATGCTTTAGGCAACCTTTGCAGCAAAGTGCGTGACCACTATACAGGAAGTTACTAATGATCACGCTGTCTGCATTCTGCTCATCTACAGGAAAACAGGAAAACCTGATAAAGACATATACAAAGAAAGAAAAATCCAAACTGGAAATGGTACAGAATCAAGATGTAAGATTCTGTATGAATAACTATGAAAGAGGTGCTAGTGTCACGGAACAAAAAACTACAGTGGGTCTTACTTGGAGACAGAAGAAAAATGTCCAGACTATGCATGTTGTACAAAATGACTAATAAACTGGTGGACGTCCCAACTACTAAGTACCTAATACCTAATACCAGCACGGAAGAGAACGTTGAATAACTATGCCGTACCAGTTATCAACCAAGAACTATCGCAGTGGAACTCGCTGTCACCGAATACAGTAGGGGCATTATCATTAGATAGCTTTAGACAATGTCTCGAGTTAGAAGTTCAAGGGTTAGGTGTAACAGGTCGATCGGTGTAATATAGGCAGCTGCCGCCGCGCCGCGTACAAGCAAAGCTGATTTGTTACGCCGAAAGGCGGTTATACCGGCTATACAAATACAGATACAGAAGACAAAATATAACCATATCTATATATAAATGAATTAAGATACATCAATGAAGACGTAAATATAAATAAAGATGTAAATATAAATGAAGATGTAAATATAAATGAAGACGTAAATATAAATAAAGACGTAAATATAAATAAAGATGTAAATATAAATAAAGACGTAAATATAAATGAAGACGTAAATATAAATGAAGATGTAAATGTAAATAAAGATGTAAATATAAATGAAGATGTAAATATAAATAAAGATGTAAATATAAATAAAGATGTAAATATAAATAAAGATGTAAATATAAATGGATTTCTGTCTATCTTTCTAAGTGAAAGAAAGAGAAATAATATAGAAATATATATATATATATATATATATATATGTGTGTGTGTGTGTGTGTGTGTAATGGAACAAAACAGATGTGCTCTCTCTCTCTCTCTCTCTCTCGCTGGTGAATGGAATCAACTGATATAAAAAAATTCAAATAAGACTCTTTTTTGAAAATCAATAAGTAAAATGTATAATTCTTCCAATGGAAAGGTTATCATCATTTAACGAAGATAGGAGGTCGTAAAAGTCTTGTTTCAAATAATACAGTACGGCTTGTTTTAACATGTTTACAATTCATACACTTCTTGTTAGAAGTACCATATTGCTTTTTCTGATGTTTCTCCTCCTCCTGCCATATCTTTAAATGGATTCAGCTTCTTCATTTTAGGGCCTAAGGTCCTGAAATTTGGTATGGAGGTACAGTGGCCAAATTCCCCTAGGCGTTTTTTAAATTTTTGTGATACAGGCTTTTCGAATGGTTTTATTTGAGTTTTTTGGCTGTGTTATAGCAAATGTATTACTGTGTTAGTGTGCCGTGTTTTGACCACGTCTGGGCATGAGTCATCACAATGGAATGCAGGGCATCAACCAATAGGCATGCAGCTTTAATCTATACTTCTTGCTGATTGGCTGTTGGGATTTAACTTGATTAACACCCGCACAGAGCATTTCCATACTGACAGTATGTCTTTATTCAAGTGTTTTGGTAGGTATTTCAAGCTTTTCTGCTCCAGCATTGGAATGCGGGGCATGAACGTTTTTTATTTTATTTTGAAAATCAACAGTTTGCATTATGCAATTAAAAATCCTAACCAATAAAGTAGGGAATAGCTATCCAACTGTTGTTTTAGTTGTATGTTACTTCATACTATAGTTATATCAATGTAAACAGGGTTCTAGCTAGCGCTAAGTAGCGTCGGGGCCCGCGACGCTACAATTTTGACCCGCTACGCCAATTTTCCCCCGCTACGCTAATTTTCAGTACAACGTAGCGGCATTGTGACTGCATTTCTTTGTTCAAAAATGCCAGATCAAATGTGAAAAATGTTTTTTTAGCAAAGTAACGCACGTGGCGGCCCTCCCAGGAGAATGGGGCGTGCCTAGGCGGGGCCTTGGCTTCTTTACAACTTGTGTTGCCGCCCTTCTGTGAGTGACAGCGGCAGTCTCTTGACGCCCAGACACTGGCGTCAGGGTGTCTAGCCCAGTCTGTAGAAGGGATGTTCCGCCTCCTTCATAGTGTCGGCTTTCCCTCTGGGACGCCATATATGGGCTGGCCTATTTAACAATTCCCACGCCACGAAGTATGTAGCACAAATATGTTTCCTCCCGTGTTCAACAGATCTCTCCTTGTAACTCTGGACATAAACACCTTCCACTAAATTGCATTAATTCTATATCTTGCCAAGGTGAAAAAAATACAAAGAGTTACAATGTACTTAGTCACCAGCCTAATAATTAAAGTGCTTTACAGTTCCAGCCGGCTCCCGAAAAGGGGAGGGGCCTCTAAAGCCCACAGCGGCAAACTTGCGTTGGTTGAAAATTTGCCACTTTAGTAAACTAAACAAGGGAGTTCACCCCTTGGATCCGTTCATAGTTTAAACAAGTAAATACAAATTATTGCTCTCTTGTCAAATTTTTGCCGTTTTTCTTTACGGGCGTTTGTGATCTTTGTGACACACGTGGGTTTTCCTGCCACATATGCGTCAGTGCTGGTGCCATGCCGATTTCATGCTCTTAGCTACTGTGCGATCTATGTCGACATACTGGGTGTGCCTGTAATCATGTCAGCATCAAAGCTTGGCAATAACAACAAAGCCGCGTGTTGAATCACGTCAAATTTCGGCCCAGTTTTGCAGAACAGAAATGGCACAAAGGAGATTAAAAGTGCCTCATAATGAGACACTATTAGCAGGCAAAACAGACGTATTTCTTATATTATTTATAGTTACTTTTTTTGCATGTAGAATATTACAACTTTGCACACCAGATGCTATGTTTAACATTTAATTTATCTCAGAGTCTGTTTTTGGTTGTGTCTGATTTGGAGTATCTTCTGTATTTTGTGAAGATTCCAAGCTGCAAAAATATAAAAATTACTAATCAAGGATACATTGTACATACCTTAGAAATGACATTTTTTCCCTTTGGGTATCCCTCAAATGGCTGCTTTTTAAGCTTAAATTTTTAAAAGCTCCGCACCGTGCGTCAGGTACCACTACGCTAAAATAAAACCCTAGCTAGAACCCTGGTAAATCATTGTTTTCCCTTGTGTTTCTCATTCTTTCCCTGCCATGTGGTAAAATGTGGTGAACCCATCGCTGTATTTGCTCCAAAGCAAATATTGGCCTTTCTAGTATTAAAACTTGAATTTTGTAAGGAAACTTAAAGTAGAACTGTCAAAATTACTACTAGTACAATGCCAAATTTTATATTTTCGTCGTATGGCTAAGCCTTAGACGTTCTATTACATCGAAGCACTTGACTGATATGCATTCTCTGCTAAGCTGAAACGGTAAACTGGTTGAGTATTTGAAATAGTGTGTCAAAACGTATCATTTTAGGATCTTAGCTTTTCGACCAAACCACGATTTACTTAAGTGAAACGTCTAATCAAAAGGAACAAAAAATAAATGAACTCACCTCTTAAAACGTTTTCCAAACTAGGAAAGAAAGGCTTGCATTTATATTCATATTAATTTCCCTAGAGCTTCATCTACTAGGGGTGGTGTTGATCAGCACTGCAGCGTTGCTCAAACAACTCGTTTTTGTCACTGTCATGAACTGATCACCATGTGCGTCACACGTTTTAAACCAATAGCGTAGGTATGTAAACAGACAAGTATCTGAACCTTAGTAACCTTCATCTGATGTCTAAATATTTATTTTGATTATAGTTGGGTAACTGATTTTGTTAGCAGGATAACTAGATTTTATGGATTATTAATAATGATAATAAATTTAAACAAATAAAATTTTACAAAATAAGTTTTTTTTAGACCGTTTCTACGATATTGCAGTGGACCTCCTGTGTGTCGGTTTGTTTGTCAGCAAGATCACTCGATATTCTGCTGATAGGTCATGTGAGAGAGTGTATGTGGTTCGGGTTCATTGAGAGAAATGTCAAGTTCTTAAAAACTAAGTGTGGCTAATAAGACCCTTCGTGGTTAAGTGTGGTACTGCAAGAGTTCTCTAATGTTTTGCTTTCTGGACAAACCAAAGTTCACTAAGACGTTTTGGATTGGATAACAAAATGGGCTGCACCCCAACAAGGCCCCTGGTCCGGATAGCATATCGAACCGGCTCCTTAAGGAAGCGGCACCTGTCATCTGCACATCCTTATGCGAGCTCTTTAACCATTCTCTTGCCACGGGCCAGTTCCCAGCCGAATGGAAATTATGTAACGTATCTCCAATCTACAAAAAGGGTGACCGTACAGATCCCTCCAACTATAGGCCAATCGCATTACTTCCAACTGTTGCCAAGGTACTAGAGCGACTTGTGCACAATCACCTTTACACCCACTTAATGAACAATAACCTGATGAATGTTAATCAGTCAGGATTCAAGAAAGGTGATGGGACAGTCCTACAGCTGCTGCGCCTTGTCGACAATTGGGCCAAATCCATCGATGATCCCAACACATCATGCACAGCGGCAGTCTTTTTAGACGTACGACGTGCGTTCGACACGGTTTGGCATGCAGGCCTAGTCTACAAACTCTCACGTTATGGAGTGACAGGCTCCCTAAACCTGTGGTTTGAAAACTACCTATCCGACCGCAAGCAAAGAGTTGTGATCAATGGTGTAGCATCATCTTGGGGCCTTACACAAGCCGGAGTGCCTCAAGGGAGTATACTGGGCCCACTTTTATTTTTGATTTATATCAATGACATTCAAGACCTCCCATGTACTTCCAACATCAACTGCTTCGCCGATGACACATCACTCTCCAAGTCGGGACCTACTCCCCAGGAGGTAGCCAGCACAGTTAACACCGACCTGCAGATTGTGTCTACTTGGTTCAACGACTGGAGTCTCCAGCTGCACCCCGACAAATGCAAAGTTATTTGCATTAAGTCACCACAGAGCAGAGTGCAGCTCCCCCCTATTTACATCTCGGGGCAGATCGTTGAACAGGTACCCGCCTACACACACCTGGGTCTTACTGTGCACCAGTCCCTACGCTGGACAGAACACGCCCAACTTACCTCCAACAAGGCCAGGAGAACAATGGGACTCCTGTGGAAGCTACGTGGTAAACTCTCCCAAGAAGCCCTGGAACTAGCCTATTTCACGCTTATTCGTCCTAAGCTGGAATATGCTTCCATCCTACTTACCAACATCACTGCTGCGGCATCCAAGATCCTGGAGCGAGTGCAATACCACGCTGGGCGTCTCGTTTCGGGTGCGGCTGCGCGCACACCCTACTCAGAGATCCTCCACAAGCTCAGGTGGGATAGTCTGGCGACCAGGAGGGACTACCATCGGCTAGTTACCATGTACAAACTTGCTAACGGCCCCGTCCCAGCCCACCTCGAGCCACTAATCCCGACGACCCGAGTCGCAAACAGCCAATCCCAGCGACGACTGCGGAACGCTCATCACCTTCACATCCCCCGGTGCAGAACAAACGTCTACAGAGACAGTTTCCTGTTGTACACCTCCCGACTGTGGAACCGCTTACCCAGCGAGGTCATAGGGTCGGCCACCATCTCCATATTCAAGGCCAAATGCAAACACCACCTCTTATCCTGATTACCTAAACACCAATTGTAAATAAAAATCCTCCAACCGTTCCATTTCAACTTTGATCATTTTATCGATTTGTATTGTAATTACACTGTATTGCTTAATTATGTATTGATTGAATTTGTATGTACTTTGTATGTTTATTGCTATTGTAAATATTGAATTGAATTTGTATGTACCAAGTGATATTGTATTTAAGTTATACTGTACTTTGTATTTATGCATTTATGTGTCAGTGGTAGCCGCTACCAGCCTTGTTGCTGCCTGGTTGCCACTTGTTATGCACTGTTGCATTTAAATAAACAAACAAACAAACAAAGAAGATAAAGTGGCGTACGTATACGTGACCCCCGTGACTTGTCTTTGGGCCCTTTTGTTTTAACCCTACCTAAACCGGGGGGGGGGGGCTAAAAGTGACCGCGCCAATTTTGATTTTACCTAGCGTCTGAACGGCTAGCCGTAGAACGGCCAAACTTGGTGACTTTTCCTAAAATATTGTCGGCAACAATTCTCTATCATTGGAATAAAAAAATAATTTTTTATGTTGCCATGGCAACGGGTTTCTGACAGGAATTTTTTTTGCTAAATTTAGTATTTTTTGTTTTAACAATAGAACTTTATGTCAAGTTTCTCATGTTTTCTAATATTAATAACATCCCATATAATTTTATGTAAATTTTATCATTAAATATGCATAATTTATGCTAATTTGATGACGTCATTGGCCAAAATCCAACATGGCGGACCCTATCATTAGATCAGGTAAATACAGCTTATTTTCCTTAAAATTTCATCAATACTCCCATTTCTTTTTACAAAAAAGGTTCATATGAACGTCTTTAGTCTATTTACAATGTATTTTAGGCTTTATCCTGAAAAAAAACTTTTTTTGAAAATTCAAGATAAGGTAATATATGCATGACGTCATTTTATGACGTTACGGTGTTGCTATAGGCAACATAAGACTTAGTACACCCTAATATTCTGCCATAAACACTTTACTTGGTAAAGTTATGTCGTATACCGTTTAGTTTTCAAGGAATAACCTATCTAGACGGTTTTGGCCAATAAAATCACATTAATGACGTCATAATGACGTCATATTACGTCACAACGACATAAAAATTGTACGTATGATAAATTTTTACTAGTACACCATCCTCTGAATTTGGTGGTCCTACGATATACCGTTCGCGAGTTCTGAGGGGGGGGGCGGTCCCACCAAGCTCAAAAAAGCCCGGTCTAGATAGGGTTAAATTTTCTCATAATAATAATAAATTATATACTAATATACATAATACAAAAGAAATGCATATCTCTTTCTCCTCCTGCCATTTCTTAAAATTATTTCAATTTCTTCATTTTCGGCCAAATGACCTGAAACTTTGTATGAAGGTTAAGTGGCTCAATACCCCCCAAAACTTAATTTTAAATTGATACTTCTAAAAATCATTACCAACAAGAATCCGAAGATCTCATACCTACATGAAAATGTTCTAGCGTTATAACTTTTTTCTCGTTTTTGGATTTTTCCCATTTATTGTGAACATGTGATGATTGTTTGTTGTATAATCTTTTTTTTTAATTTTATTTATTCATCAATAAACATACAATATACAATGTAGTGAACCATCCCATTACCTAATAATAATAATCATAATGATGACATAATAACAATGATAATTCAATTCATATCTGATGGTAATAAAAGTGATCATAATAATAAGTGATCATAATAAGTGATCATAATAATAAATGATCATGATAATAAGTGATAATAATAATAACAGATCAAAATAATAATGATCATAATAACTCAACTCATAACCGATAATGATAACTAATAAAAAAATAACTGATCAGAATAACAATAATAATCATAGTAATGACAATAATAATGCAACTGATCATAACTGATCATAGTAATAACGAGAATCATAATAATCAATGATCATATATTTCATATCATAATTCAAATGATAATATTGATAATGAAAACACTCAAGAACATAAGGTACCCCATTTGCCACGATGCTTCTGCAGATTTCCCCTTCTTGCAGCAATAGAATATTCTACTGTATGAAAGAAATTTACATAATTAAGAAAAGATTGAAAAGTAACATGGTTGGCCTTTCTGCTTCTATAAATGCATCTTTTAGCTAATAAAATTACAAGGTTACCTATAACAGGGGCTTCTAAATTTAAGTTACCAAAAATGACATTAAAAGAATTAAGCTGTAGTCTTTGTCCCGTCTGTTGATGAAACCATATTTGAATTTTATCCCAAAAAGAAACTAAATGCCTACACTACCAAAAGACATGCAGGTAGGTTTCTTCTTCCTCATGGCAAAATGAACATAATGGACTGTCTATACATTTCCAGATATACAATAACCTATTTATTGAAAAAAATCTTGTTTTCGGATCAATGGTACAATGTATAATAGAAGTGTAGACTAGTCTCCAGGGGATTGGGGTATCAAAGAGGTACAGCCATGACATCTGAACATTATGCGAACAATCTATCAAATTATAGGAACTTAAAAAGAGTATTTATACATGCTTTTATTTGTCTTAATTTTTCTAAGCCAGGTATTATCACATTGGGTAGGTATACAAACTAAAAGGGATGAAGAACCAAGCAAAGTAGATTTCCATTTTGGGGGGATTGCAGTATATAGCTGCAAATACTGCATGAGGCTACAAACATTATCATATTTAATACAGAATTCATCATATAACATGAGGGAACCATCTAAATTTAAAACATCATTTACAAACAGAATTCTTCTATTTTGAAAAGCATTTGAAAAGAAAGGTTTTCCACTATAAGGATATAAGAATTCATACATAAAGCTGTTGTCTAATCTCAGCTGGAGTTGTGGGGGCCTTATGTTGATATTTATACCAATTTCCATGACAGAGACCGCATACTAAAAGAGGGACGTAAACTCCGAGGAACAGGTTTCGCGGTCTACGAGCATCTCCCCCCACCGTTACAAG